CCCAAACATACACAATCGCACCATCCCACCCTCATCCTCACCCCCACTCAGTCAAAGACATACAAGGACGCCACTTCTGAAGTAGTTTTACTAACAGTAGTTTTTCTTTTGTACCGAATTACCACGTAATTACATGGTAACAAGGTAGTAATTACATTTAATTATCTTTTTTATTACCTTGTAATTACATGGTAATAAGGGTACCGTAAAAGAAAACATTACCCTTATTTTTTATAACTTCATTTTAAAGTATTAAATCAGATGTTAAAATCCGCTCAAGGAGCTTTTTTTTACAAAATACTTTTTACTCTTGAGTAATTTCTTGAATGGCTAATTTTTACTTTTACCTGTGTAAAAATATGATGAAGTCATGCTACTCTTGTGTACAAATCTTGGATACACTACACACTTCTGCTTAGAATACGGAGGAAGTAAAGGAAATAGTCTTTTTGAGCAATATTTCTAATGATAAAAAATGATTAATTTTATCATGTTCGAAACAAGCTGATATTGTCCTTTAACAAGTGTGTTGTTATATGAACCTAATGCTGGGAGAGGATAGAGGTCCAACTCCTGCTTCAGTAAAAACAGTTTACAGTGACGTTCAATATTGTTCACAAGGTTATGGACAGGGCAGGTTTTGTGTTTTGAACAGAAAAATCCAACATTTTTAATATTTTTGAATTCTCCATTTTGTTGATGTCAGTTTTATAGCCTTATGTTTGCAAACCACAACAGCTGTGTAAATTATAGTGATTTTAAACAGTGCATTTTGGTAATCCTTTATTTTAAGTGTTTATTGAGAGGTTTGGATTTYTGTACTTTTAAACATCACAGTCAGTTTGCGTTTTGCTCCATTAAAATTCAAAACATCACGACTTGCACTTATTAAATCACGCCTGGCTGTTGCTACATGATACTAAATAACCATTTTTAAGGATTTTATACGCACTGCACCCTGCAGGGCTCCAGTGCACTCAATAGAAGTTAATGTACTAAAAGGCGTGTTAGCATAATGTGAAAGTTTGTGCTGCACAGTCGCAGCTGCAGGGGCCGCAGCTTGTTTCCGTCAGCCGTCGCTCTCCTCATCCATTTGGTGCACAGCAGAGGACTGGTCTGTTGCCAGACGGCCAGCAGAGCCCTGACTGGAGCACCAGCAGCTGCCGGCCTGCAGGCAACCTGTTAAAAGTTGTTTTTATTAGTGCTGCCAGTGCCAGCTCCAGCTGATCACATGAAGAGGAGACAGAGGAGCATTTCCAGTGGTTCATGAGCCGTGGGCTGTGCACGCTGACTGGTGGTATTAGAGYCCGGTAATAAATATCAGCAAGCACAAGCGTCCAAACAGAGCTCGACTTCAAATAAGAAAGTGTCAGCTGCCTGGAAACATTTGGCTTATTGATAAATAATCATCTAGACCAGTGGTTCCCAAACTTTTTATCTTCTGACCCAAAAAATATCCATGTCAAAAACTTGTGACCACAAATATTACTGGTC